TGACTGAAATGGGGGGGGGGGGAGGAAAGTATATATATGGGGGAAGGGGAGAGAATAAGTCATTTCAGGTCAAACTAAAGCAAACAAAGAAAGTTTCAAAGTTCTACTCCCTCCCCAAATCACCAAATTTGTGTTTTGGATTAACCTGAAATGATCTGTTTTGATATTACCTAACCCTTTTAAGATTCTTGTTATTATGTTTCCTTGAAAGAAAAATCCTTGGCATTCTCTGAAATTCTCCCCCATTTTGAGGATAAAACCGTTTGCCAAAACAACTCAAATTTGACATAGTTTTAACTTCCTTAAATCTCCATTTTCAGTAAATATGCTGCTAAACCAAAATTGCTGTCTAACACTAATGCAGTCTCCTGGTACTTCCACTTCAATCTGTCAATTTTTGAAAACAAATTAAGTGGTCTACTAACATTTTTCTCCATTAAATTCCACAAATAGCTCAGCTGAGTGTGAAGTAAGTATCTCTCAGAAAACTCAACACGACATTGTATAAGAGGAATGTGGAAATATTTTGGAAAAAAATGTATTTATAGCTGCTATCTCCCCTTCCGTACGCTGCTTATGAGTCTTTCCTAGTGCTGATACAAAAGGAGATGGGAGATACTTACACCTAGATGACTTACATCTAGGTCCTTCAGAACTGTTTGTGACAATAAACACTTAAAAAGCCCCTTGTTAAAGGAAAGCAATGATTCAGCAAGTAGCAAAGCAAAAATGCAAAGCATGTTAACATTAACCCTGTTTTTGATGTACCAAGGAGGGAGAAGAGGGTCAACGAGTTGGTGCTTCCACATCTCTCTGGCTACTCACGTGGTAGTGACGCAAAGGCAGAGGCAAAAGCACTCCATGACTTGCTGAGATGAATATGGCCAGTTGGCCTTATCTTAAAGTAAGGCTTCCCAAAATAGCAACCCAATTCAGGAGTTCTGCATCTGAGGCCAGGTCTAGTTAAGAAAAATCAGCCTTGTCGTGTTCTTAAGTAGAAATACCGCTGATCGCAAACTACCGCTATTAGGATGGGTGCCTGTTTCCAAGCAGACCTGGATCTCCAGCACAGATGCACACCTACTCCAGAGCACTGCAATTTTCAAGCTCTTTCAGAATGGAGAGAACTGCCTCAACCCAAACTCGGGCCATGTGCAAACTAAGATAAAGTAATAAGCCTACACAGGCCAAACTATAAAGCAAAATCTTTTTGGCATGCATCTATGACAATGGGAAAGTAAAGACTGTGTTGAAATATGCTGATCTGAAAAGTCTGAATTAAAGTTGTACTCCTATCTCTAATCTTAGCATTTTCTACCGTGTGAGTACTTACATTTCCAGTCTATACAACATTCTCTCAACGTTACTTTTTGTGCAACTATAGCATGAAGTCAAACCTATGTCTGCCTTGCTTTTTAGTGTTATCAAACACTATAATCATGTTTTTTAAGGTTATAATATGTGGTATTTATAGAGAAGAATCATCTCAAATGGGAATGGAAGAAGAACCGGGACACCTTTAAACATGCAATGAATTTTACCCACATCCATCCTATTCCTCCTGAAAAAAAAAAGGCAGCAGGAAAAACTTCTGAAAACTGTAGCAAGGGAGACTAATCTCTCTTTCACAGAGATTGCAATTACTTGTTGCAAATTATCTAGGAAGAAAAATAAGCCGGTTAAAGGTAAGTAATGGACAGCAGAAACATAAAGAATCTGTTCTAGATTTTGTTTTACTTTTGGGCAGCCAAACCCTACATTGTTTACAGGATCAAAATGCAGATTTGAGGTTTTATCCTAGCTCTACATACCTATAACAACAAATTTAATTTAAAAACGTTAGATCACTAAGGAACAACTTAGAATGCACAGTAACTACTCAGAGAATTTATTATATAATGTACTTTGTGATTTAACAAGAATAAAAATACTATGGCGCAGGGTTAAGAGTCTTCATTAGAAGGTATATGCTATTATTTGGCTTTAAAAGGTGCACATATCCCACTGATGACCATAAAATAAGTTTTTGAATGTTGAAGTAACTTTTCACACAAAATGTAAAATCAGGGTTTTTCCAAGCATAAACAAGGATCTGACTGGTACCATATTAGTAAGGGGAGAAAAAAGGGTTGTTGAAGAAATGAGATTTAGGTATGTATCTCAGTGTTGGCCTCCAAATTAACACCTCCTCATTATTTCTCATCTTCACTACAATTATTAGGTTGCTTTGATTTCTGCTTTGCTCTGTTTTTGGAGAAATGTTCCTACTCTTTTTTCATATGTGCTGCTTCCATCCTCCTCAATAATCTCAGGCTCCCTGGTCTGCTGCAGTTCTCTCAAATCACCGTTAAGACAGGTCATTTAACATCACCAACCCTTTGCAAATTCACTTGGCACAATACTGGTCTTGCAGGATTCACACTTAATACATTACGTTGTCTTTTTTTTTAGATCTCAAAACAGCATTTCAATATTTTCCTATAAGTAATAATTATCGCATTGATTCCTTCACAATCTGTATTTATTAGATCTCAAAACAGCATTTCAATATTTTCCTATAAGTAATAATTATCGCATTGATTCCTTCACAATCTTCACAATATGCCTTGCATATGATACTTTATGGAGTGCTTTCAAAATGTAATTAGCAAAGCATCAAAAAACCCCCCACATATATATGTTAAAGCACAGAAACATAGAAAATGTCATAGTGGATCAGACAATAGTCTGCCAAAATCAGAACTGGAATATTCTGATGATAGTAAACAATCATAAATACAAGAAATTACACTTTTGCAACCAAAATGCAATTTGTTTTTTATACATGTAGTGTAACAGATGAGCTTTCCCCCTTTTCCCCCCACCCCAGCCCCTGCCGATTTAAGCAGATGATCAACAGCTCCCAAAATGCTTAGTTTCAGTTAGTGACTGGTTTTGCTCATACACTAAAACAGGATTTCTCTTTTCCTGTGACCAAGAAAGCTATTGTAGGGCAATCTGGAACCAGAAATATCATGCTCAGTCCTGTATTATAAGACGATGGATACATGATAAAAGTATAGTTTTAATGCCTATTTTGGAAAGATTTGTGTCTCACCTGCTAAACCCAGCAGATTCATTATAATAAATGTGCCCAATTCTCTATAAGACAGTATTCTGCTATGCATTTTAGTTGTATATTGAACTCAAACCTGATTGCTCCATTTCTTAGTACACATAAAAAAAGTTTTGTTTGGACTATGTAGAGAGCCAGAAATAATGAAGTAAATACTGCAAAATTCTCCATAGATACAAACCAGATATTTCAAAAGTTATCATCATTTATACCTCTATTTTTACAAATATTCATTACCATAATGTATCCCTTTTTCAGAAATATTCTAGGTTGCTAACTTAGGTACATGTAACACAGTGCACAGTGTTTAGCTCAGACATGCACACACACACACATAATTGTGGGAGTGCAGCCCCAGTGGGGACACCTAACAGCCAGAATATCAAGCAAATCAGCATACCCAAGCAATAATGGCAGCATGGTCATCCAAAACATGAATTTGAGATTGTAATGCCAGTCCTCACAGTCACTAATATGATACCACAGCAAGAAAGCAGCAACAAAACCAAGGCCTTTGTAGTAATTCAGAACAAATGCGCCCATTTCCTTCCAGGACATGTCAAAAACTGGGCGGCGGGGAGGGAGGGGAGCGTGCACCAGCAGGAAGAGGCAGAAAAGCATGCTATAAACAGACAGAAATCCTTGTCTGCTCACAGTACAGTGTTACTCAGGAAATAATTCCAGCAGTCTCACAAACCAGAAAAGAATTATCATAAGTTCTTTGAATGATTTGTGAACAATCAAAAGACAAGAAATTCAAAAGAAGAAATAATACGTTCTGCAGTCTTTTCTTCTTTTTATGAGTAAGAATTACTACAGGAGGAAAAACCCAGCTGCCTTTTCTGCCTGTTTGTCACTGATGCTGCCTCATCCCACCGGCACGCAGACACTACAATACATTATAGTCTCTGACCACAGGACTCTGGCAGGTATTAACTGGAAAAGGCAGCACACATCAGAATATAAGACCACCGTGTCTGGATGGAAAAAAGCATGGCAGCACATACTGCTGTTTTTGGAGAGAGGACAGACTGCTCATCCCATATTAATTCTGTGCTTTTCTGGAACAATGTGGGCAATGACGACTACTATGCTGAGGCTATGTGAAACATAGCTAGATGTTACTGTTATCCACTAGTCTCTTTAATGTAACAAATTTAGAAGAGGAAATGCAAGTATTTCAGAAACATCTCATTTTTCTGTGTTTTATTTCTGCTGAATACCCCACTATTTACAAACTATCAATCTAGTTAATTCTTAACTGCTCCAGGAGAGGAGAGGTTACTTCCACAGAACCATTGATTCATACCTGTATGCTTCCCAAGCTCTGCAAGAGTATCCTGGTACATGCTCAACATCTGATCACAGTGGGCAATAACACTTTTGCGCATATTGTCCCAGTGAGGAGCAAGTTCTCCCAAGTCTTTAAGTTCCTGATTCCTGTATTAAAAAGCAAAAAGAGAAAGCACTAACTCACTCATTCATCCATTAACATTCATCCAAATTAATCCATAACCAGTTTGTTAACAAACATCACAAACACTTCTTAATTGAAATAAAATCTGTTTTCATGATGCGTGTAAAATCCACTGGTTTCAGCTCTGCTATTCAGCCAGACAATAAAGAATGTCAAATCAGTGATTATTACAGTAATTTGTGTTGAAAATTCATTTGTTACAAATGCAATGGCCTGCAAACTGGAATATTATTTCTTTCTTGGAGGTAAGAAGGCTTCCAGGCTCCAGAGATCTGTGCTCACAGCAAGTAACTTTTACTGAAGAAGTAATAAAAATTATTGTAGAGAATACAACGTTTGTCTCTCTTACAATGCTGGCATTACACTCTGCTCTTGGATACTTTTATAGACATCATAAATGCAGTTCTAGCAGTGTTTCTACAAATGTCAGTTTAACCAACACACCGGTCACCACCTTTCTTTAGTGTTAAAATCAAAACAAAACACACAAATGAAAAAAAACCACACAAGTCCCCTAAAACTTACTCTTCAGCCTTACAGTTGTGTTCATCAGGCCAAAACAGCAGTGTTATGGTAACCAAACAAGTCACTGAAAATCCAAAAGGAAATCCTTTAGCAAATTATCAGTTTTCCTGTACGCTCTCGAGAGCTGACCCGAGTGAAATAGAGATCACTTCAATTTCCTACACAAACAAGCACAGTTACAGTACACTGGGCTTTCTGTTTGTTTTCCCTGCTTGCAAAATAAGTTCATCCTACATCTATCCCCAGAGCCACTCTGGGACCTGATTCTAAATTTAAAAGGGAAGATCTTGAGTCTTCAAACACTTGGAATTGTTCAGGAGAAAACCTGTGCAACATGACCAACTAGTTTTCCTCATTTTCCTCTAAGTATCAAGTAGTCCGTTTCACTGCAACTCTTGGAAGTCTTGAAAAAAAGACTTCTAAAAGGACAGCTCTTGCATATAGGAAAATTACTGGAGAAAAAGGAAAAAACCAGAAGGAGAGGGGGCAGAAAGGGGGAGAAAAAGACCAAAGAGACTGCAGCACAGGAACATAGAGCTACACTTACCGCAACAGTTCTGACCACTAGCAAAAAAAGTCTTAAAATTATTTCTTACACAGAAAAGCCTCACGCTGATCCACTGATATTTTCCCCATCATTATTATCTTTGCATTAGAGTGAACAGTATTAAATAAGCCCTATATGCATAATTCTACTCCTGGTTAATATGACAACCAAAATCAAGCAGATTACACTGGAAGCAGAATTCAGGCATTTTGTTTATATGCATCTTTGAAAGCATCAAAATGGAAACAAAGATTACATTACATGAACTCATTGGGTGCTTACATATGATTACTCTTTTCCATTTCAACTCATTGGGTGCTTACTAATGACATATGATTACTTTTTCCCATTTCATTCAACCTGAAGAACTGAATTAGATGAAACAGTTCAACTTTCCTCCACTGATAGAAACTGCCAATGCTGTAGCATAAGAATCATCAACAGGAAGAGGACAAACCCACCATCTTAAATCACCACCTTCCTTGTAGTTTTCCAGCAGTTTAAAACGAGACATCCCATTAAATGACAATCTCAGGGCTTCCTCCTAAAAAAAGCTCATGAGATTTGCCAGGGTATCCCATTTTATTTACTTGTAGTTTTCCAGCAGTTTAAAACGAGACATCCCATTAAATGACAATCTCGGGGCTTCCTCCTAAGAAAAGCTCATAAGATTTGGCAGTGAAGATATTTCGGCCCTCAATATTTATGTTGTCTTATTTAATAGTTTTAGGAACAGTGCTTGGACCTGGCTGAGCTCCAAAACTGTACTGCTTATCCTATACAGGAATATAGTATTCTGCAGACAAGGCTTGTATTTGGTTCATCTCAGAAACATACACGCATCGTTGAAGTCAAAATGCAGCCACTAGTATGTCATGAAAAGACACATCTTACCTGCAACGCTTTAATAAAGTAAGTCTGCAGTTTTACAGTAATCTAGAGCATAAATAGCATGGAAACTTTAAATACTACCTTTTAAAAATTTGTTTTCAATTAAGAATTCAGTAAAATCAAAACCATGAGGTAACAGGATTATAGCCACAGACACTATTCCTCCAAAAATAACCTTGTTGCACATCTTATACCCTTTTCAAATGCAAAGATATAAGACATAGGATTTAGATACTGTGTCTTGTGATTTGTCACTGCTGTTGTTGACTCAGTAAAACTCTGACTTATGACTGAAAAAAGAATTATCTTTCCTGTACCTAAGCTTCATCAACAATATTCCATAGTACCAAGCTTTACCTAACATTATTGTGAAACGCCCCTCTCAAAAGTAAACAGATTGAAATAACAGTATTTTTCACATTTTGAAGTTCATAGTTCATACTAATGCCCACAACAATCTAAAAATATCTTTCATTTCTTTTAATAATACTATAATACTTGTATCAGAACTTATTTCATTGAATAACTTTAAAAAACACACATAACCAGTAATTGCGTCAAATAACAATTGTGGTGTAAAAGAAAATTATTATTTATAATACTTACTGGTTCTACCGAGGGCTAATCAGTTAATGATTCAGTTTCAGTGCAGGCATGGAATTTTGAATAGCTTGTCAACAGAGCAGTAAGCTCAGAGCAAACTCAATATTGTTAAAATAGAGCTATTTATCATCTTCTTCCCCAACTCCAAACCCCCTCTCAAAGTTTTCCAGGTAATTACACTCATCACAATGACAGATCCTGTGCTCAGCATCAACTTCAACCCTTCTTACAGAATCAAATCCAGACTTTGTCTATGTCTTGCTGTTCAGCTCCTCAGACTGTCTCTTGGATAGCCTTTTCTGTCAATGCATGACAGAAACTCCCACCCAGGAGCACGTCTCAACTTTCATTGTCTCCAGCCCTGATTATTTCAGTATCTTCCTTGGTGGCCCTGACATAATTTTGCCCCATTTGTATCTAACCAGAATGCGGATGTAAACCATCAGTCTCATTCCTCCTCCTCCACTTCAAACATTAGCTAATTAGCTCATTTTTAAGCCTTTCTCAGGTACGTTGTTTTTCACATCCATCCTTTCCTTTAGTAGACTAATTATGCCAGCTTTCACTGAGCACTTCCTATTATGATTGGAAGTAGTTCCCTATTGAAAAAATTAAAATCTACTTACCCTTTCTTCAAAACTCTTTCCTGCCATTATGGCAGAAAAATTCATATTGGATCCTGATCTGCTGCAAGCACTATATACCACACTGATCATTAGTGCCAAGATTAATGATCATTGGTGCCATCACAACACAATTTTAAAGAGACAAAAAAGTCTAATAACAAGATACGAGACTCCTTAGGATCCCACAGCACTATTAGAAATGTCATAAACCTTCATTTCAGGCTCCTATTTGAAAACCAACAACTTCTTTATTGGGAATGACTTACTGATTTACATAGCTACAATTCATGGGCACTTTGCCCTTCAGGGGACTTGAGCTTTACCCAGCCTTCCCCAGCTAATGGAGAGGAGAGTCGCCGTGCAAGCTGTTACACTGATGTGCAGGATGCTCTGGGAGGATCTGTGCCTGGGCTGAAGCATCTGTGCTTTTCTTTGTGAACAACTACTTCAGGGCAATCAGTGATCCGTAAACACTACGTGACTAGATACATTTCAGAGATTGCTAGCAATTAAATACTCTTGCCATTAGACTCAAAGTAAAATTACATGCATTTTTTTTTTTGTTCCAAGAAATGTTCAGTGAAACCCGTTACCAAATGATGGTTGAGCACCCAAGGCTCAGAATAATATGCTGCCTTTTGATTTATCAACTCATGTTTTATTTGGGTTTTGCTTGTGGTTTTTTAAGATTTTATTTTTAAGAACACCTTGGGTGCATGATCACAGTAAACTACTAAAAGCACCTGGAAGAGGCACAAAGAACTTCCTGCCTTATTCATGTTGATAATTTCTACTGAAACAGTCTCTGCTTTGTGCCCCACACACTGATGACCACAGTAACAGAAATAGTCTCTTCCTCATCACTTTGGATATGAGGATATAGGAACAGCTTAGAAGTCTACAGGAAACACATTCAATGTTGAAAATGCAAAATACTGAATTCTGTAAGGAGTACTTTGAACAAGTGGTAAGCTCCATGTTCAGAAATTATTTGAAGAAAGTCCTAATGCTGTAATCATGTTCCCAATTAACCTGTTTTTGCAAAACTACCACTAGCCTCAACAGTCCAGATGTCATTGTGAAAAGTACAGTAAGAACCTGTGGTCAGTCACAATAAAAACCAAATAAAGCAACAAACACCAGCAAGATATTAAGAGGAATAAAATGAGTCAGAAAGGTACATTCCCTCAAAGAACTTTTTTGGATCTGATTATTCTGTCTCAGAAAAGGGAACAGCAGGAATAGCCATTTGTATCATTAAGAACACAGCAGAAATCTTCACAAACTGAAAGATGAAGTTGAAAAGATCAGTGTAATTATATGAAGAAGAGATAATTAAGCAGACATATGATGAAAGCACATAAACCACAAATGCTGTAATAAGACAAAGTAGTAATTTTTGATTCATTCAACTTCAAAAAATCCAGTGATGCAATTCTCAGTGGAAAAAAAAAAAAAAGACAAATTCAAAACCAAAAAAAGGAAGTGATTTTTGCCTCCACTAAGCAGTTAGCTTCTGAAATTCACTTTCACAAAACATCAGAAGCAAAGTGCTTAGCAGGATTCAAAACAAGATCAGACATTTCTGCAGATTATATTTGCAAAAGTGTTATAATATTATAAAGGTGAAAAAGTTCTGAATATTCATCAAACAGGAGCTTTGGAGTAAATACACATGGGGCATGACTTAATCACTCATAAGTAAAGAAAGCTTAGAAGCTTCCTTCTAAGGAAAGGAGCACAAGAATTATTTTTCTAACAAATTTTTCTGTAAAGTGTACATGTTTATGGATAACCATTTCATCTTTGGGTTTTTTTGTAGACTAGAAGCAGACAAAATTACTCTCATTTTTCTTTACCACAAGTTACGGTCCTGTGATATACAGGCAATAACCCATCAAAACAATATAACATTCTCTCCAGAAGTAAAAGAATCGTAGCCTTTTTACTATTTTGTTCCTAAAACAGACAATTACTAAGGAGGATTTAATCCCTTCTGGGGAAGCTATCACAAAAAATGAATAAAAGGCTATTTTTCTTTCTTTTCTAATAGTTTTCATTTAGAACCTCTTCAAAACAGTTGCTGTTTTAATCTCCTTATAGAATTTCCCAAAACTATTTCAGGTTCTGGTAAGCCTGGCCTGACAGGTAATTAAAAATTAAAATGTAGGTTTTGCCTACCTTCTGCACACCTTAAACATTTCTTTAGAAAAAATCCAAAAATTAAGCAAACAAAACCAAACACATAACCACCCCCCAAAAAAACCAAGCCACCAACATACTAAAAATACTTTAAAACCTGTTTCTTCAGTGTATATGTGGAGAATAGACTGGGATTTGAGAATATTTTATACTGTTCCTGACAGCTTTTAAGTTCCTTTTACAGTTCTATCTACCACCATCCCCTTTTTAGTATCCAAAAGTGTAGACAATATATAAGCAAATTTAAACCCATTTCTTCCTTCTTGCCTTAAAACTCTTTCCCTTCCTTGGATATTTTATTACTTGGGTTTATATTTGAAAGACACAAGATCTTCAAACAGCATGATCATCAGAGGTTAGTTCTGCGATTCACGTTTAAGAGCAGAGCACAATTCTCCTGCACCACATGACTGCACAGAGTATCAAATTCAATAATATTCAGAATGGCATCTGTGGAATTTACACTTTAATCCTAAATTGTATTTTAGCAATTAGCAGTGGCATATACAATTGGTTTAGGTGGTTTTGGTTTTCTTTTGGCTGGATGTTTTTTAAATTTTACTGTTTCATCAGGAAACACTGGAATCAACTTAAGATAATGTTGTTTCAGCTCTATGACATAAGCAAAACCATTTTACTCTCACAGTTCATAACTTCATTTCTTTATCTCAGCTTGGAATCATATATGTGGCAAGATAAATCACATTATTAATTGCATGATTACTCAAGCATTTAAAGAGTTTTGCGGGTTTCTATTTTCTTTTTTCCCCAATTTATTAAACAGAGTGTCTCATTGAAAATAAACAGTGAGGATCTTTATGACAGTGAGGATCTTTATGACACTAGCAATATAATAAAACTGTACTAAGCTTTTCTAATCACCTTAATGCCTTAATACCTCTAATTTATATTCTCTGCACCCTCACTGACATCAACTGACAAAACTACACTCAACTTAGTGCTATTAGACCCATGGATAAACACCGCTAAGGGAAAAATCTCTAGGTTAACAACGTAAAAATTCAAATGCTTTTTGTGTTGACAGAATTTGAGCATGTTAAAATAATTATAATCTTGAGAAAAAAATTATTTTTTGCTTTGGTTTGGTATTGTCCTTCACTATAACGTGGGAGGCTCTAAGTCCAACTACAAGTTATATCATTTGCTTGATGTGGACTTCTTTAAGAAAGGGGCATGCTATCCACAAATACAACATCTGGAAATTTTATCAGCCAGTCCCTGAGAAGCAGTGCTGACTGGTATGGAATGATTTTCTGGAGTCTTAAAACCTGGGTAGATTTTGCAGAAAACAACAAAAAACCCTCTCTGACAGGACAGTCGGTACATAAGTTAACATTTTATAGCTTTCAGCACTGCTGAATAATAAGTAGTGTTATGTAGAGGTAACTATCACAAAACAAATCAGGTAGCATTACTCCATTCCAATGCACTACAGCTTTAAACACCCAATAATTAAGTAAAGCCCAACAAATTTTACTTCCTTGAGTCCGATATGAAAACTCCTCTTAGACTTTCACAGAGGCCATCTTTTCCAAAATTAGTTACTGACAGCAAAATCAAGAGGACAGAGAATTGCACAGTGTTCATACATGACAATATATTTCATCCTTTAGTTTATAAATTTATGGTTTTCAAACTGGTCATGATTGAAGAGGGCAATAGTCTCAATACTGCTCACAAAAAATTCAAGTTACACTTAGGTTCACATGCTTGTGTTCCTCTATGCAGTAACTGATGGAGAATAAGAGAAAGGTTTTGCATCCTTTACGTTGCACAATGGAGTAAGTACTGCAATTATTTCAAAAAGCAAAGTCCATACAAAGCTGAAGCTCCAACCTACATACTTATACCATGATAGGTGACACAGATGTCCCTGTTCCCACTATCTGCTAGTATTCTACCACAAGCAATTGCTCCTCTTGGTTGGTCTTACCTCTTTCCTCAGACTGATACAATCACTTTGGCTCTTTTTCTCTCACACCCACACTTTCTAGCAGGCTTGAACAGCTAAACACGTTGGCAGTCAGGAAAATCAGAACCACTTATATCAATCTCTGAGCAATGTTTACTGGTTTCTTCTGAAAAGCTTTTCTTTGTTTTGGTGAGTGTTGAATAACCATTAAAAAAACAAACCACGGTGATTCTTACTATGACTTTATCCAAGGAGGTGAATACTATAATATGAAATAACAGCAAGTGCTATTTCTTGCATTACACCTTCGGAGAGAATAACACAGTAGTAGTAAAAGTGGTTAAAATAATCCCCTAACATTTAAAAGGCATTTACCCATGGGGCAAATGAAAATCTGGGAAGCGGATCAACTCTGCAAGTCATCATAATCTAGTTTTATTGCTTACTAAAAAAACTTACACATTAGTATTCTCAAACAAGATCAAGCCATAAATGCCTAAACACTGTATTAAATGACTAAAGTATTATAACAATTCATATGATTTTTATAACCCATCATCACCATGCATAAGTAGGTATCAGTCCATTGATTTTATTAAAAGCAAGATTCTGGTCTCCCACACGCTGTTCTGTTGTCATAAAAAGATCATACAGAAGCAGTGGATGGGGTGAATAAAAAAGAAAATAGGCTCCTGCTGCAGGACAACCAACCACTGTAAACAACCACAGGCAACTCCCTCTGATGGGAGATTGTTGCCTGAGAGTGCACAGGATGGCTTTGGGATGCACCACTAGCTCCCAGTCTTACTCTTCTACATGAGACCAGATGCCCATCTATGTGTGAGGCAAATTTCATGAGGAAAGTTCTTCTACACCATCCATTATCATTGGACAAAGAAGGTATGGTTTCAGGGAAGTCCTGGACTGCTTAAAATAAAGCTTTTTCTGCAATTGTATCAGCACAGCTCACAAGTATTCAAGGACAGGCTTCCATTTTAGTCACTGCAGTGGGAATTTGGACACACAAAGGATTTTGGGACACTTGTGCTCCCTTACCCTCTTTTTTCCCAAGCAACACATACTGTAATGATCCTCAGATGTCCCTCCTGGTTACAAGGCCAAACATGAACAAAGATTTCAAACTGACATTAATTTGGTATCCTTTTCTTAGGAGAAACAGTCACAGGAATGTGATTTATATTCTCATTGCTCCTTTATTAACTACAAGCATGTCATTGCTTGCATAAGGTTTCTCTGTGACATTAGCAATACCCAGACACAAAGCCAAACACACTCCTTAACACCCTTGACATGTGTTGTTTCTTTATAAAATGTTAACTTTTCAGAATATTTATATGTTGATGCTTACACATTTGAAGTCATGATCACACTCTAGCACAGTTCATTGCTCAGAATTATAAAGTCACTGGAGTCCTAAAAATTCTTAGCAATCAATTCTGTCATTCAGTTACAAATGTAAATTCTTAGCAGCCCAAAAGATCTCTGTTTTTTGCCTATTTCATACTACAAATCAACATTTTTACCTCATCACTTAGATTATTCCAACTCAGAACAATAAAATTTAGTATTTACTAATTCTTCTTCCTTACCTTCTCATATCCTCCTTTATATGCAGACTGATCAGTTCTTTAGGAACATGGAAAGAGAGGGTGGTCTCAGCCATCTGCTCCCGAATCCGCATCCACTTGTTGTCAGAAGTAGGGAATCTATATAACTTACAGATTGGGTTTTTTAACACTGCAGAGAGGAAAAATTATAGCGTTGCTTTACTATGGTTGTATGACTCTGAAAATTTATGACAACATTTTCATCCAAAAATAATACGTTACTTCCCCCTTGCTTCCAGAATTAATTTTAGAACCATTAAAATTCTATTTAAAACATTAAATTTGTATTTAATTTATTATAGCAGCATGTGGAGGACAAAGTATTACTAGTAGAGTAGATAAATCACATTTTACCCACACAGTAGGTATCCTGTGAATTTAGCATTTCAGTGTAGTGAGAATGTAAATTATGATTTCTGTCCTTACACTTAAGATATAGTCAGGAAACAATGGAATACACAAATGAACAAGGAACTCACACACTGTCAATGTCATCCCTTACTCCCTGCTAGTATCACTCAAATGCCTAATAAATTGTCTGAGACCAGTGAACAACACCTCAAAGTTGAGCTGTAACTGATCCATCTTCTCCATGACATGCACACACAAATAGAGGGTGTGCATCTACATTAAAGGAAACTTGAACGTTGACATGGTCAAGAGGATGCCGTTTTAGAGTCAACTTGATCACTGTCATGGTCAAGAGAGTGTCACTACATAGAAATAAATACAACAATCCTGTAAATACATTACACACACTGTTCTCAGATTACCATTGCAACTTGAGGGGAAAAAAACCCAAAACATTTACTTGACATCTTGGAAGGTTATGCTTAAAACCCTATTTAACACTATGTTTTTTATCTTAAAGCTCTCACATGTTGGCTATGTTTCCACCCAGATCTTACAATGATGGCCTATAATAGAGGTGGGATGTTTCTACTCTCTCCTGTTCTTCTTTTTCTTTTTTTTTTTCCCCCTCCCTCTCCTCTTAACTAATTTTCCAGAAAGAGAAAATTAGGAAAAAGCCAGGAAAGAAAAGTTTTGCTTGACTACATCGATAAGCTTACTTGGAGACAAATGATTGTTGTTTAACACACACATCCACTGCTTCTTAACTCCGAATGACTTTGGACAGCCATCCAAATCCTCCAACAATACCTTTCCATCAGCCTTCCAGAAAAAGCTGCCGTAGAGCAGGCTCCCATTGATCTGCCACTGAATGGTCTATAACTCAAAGGAATGCATTTCCCATGTGCACTGTGAGGAAACCGTTGCTGTCAAAACGACATCTACTAATAGAAATTTCAGCTTCACAACCAACTGCTACCATTATTGCCTATGTAGGCTGATTTATAGAGAATGAAACACACAGACCAAGTTATTGAAGATACACGAACTGTCTTGTCTATCTAATCAAACTGTTTTTTAACAGAAGCCCTTTAGGAAAGACCTAAAACAAGACCACAGATTCAAAGATACCTGTAATAAAACAGTTGTTGGCACCTCATAAAGAAAGGAATGTTGTAAACAATCATGTTTAAGCAATTGCAGATGTAGTTTCTATTCCCATCACTCTACTGAGATCTCTTTAATCATCAGTCTTCAATAAGAAACTGGAAGCCTTTTTAGGGCCATTTTGCCTTTATTTATTAGTGATCTTACTTAAAAAATCTAAATTCTGGCTTACTGTTATGAAATAAACCTAATAGATGCTTGATAGCTACAGCATATGAATAACAGCAATTTTTCTTTACTACTAACACCCAAAATACCTCAATGTTTAAGCATCTTTACACACATTTTACAGCTTGAGAATCCTCACCAGACTTAACTATTGTCCACCACCAAAAAAAAAAAAAGCATCTCCAAGTCCCGTGCTTATAATCAACTTATACCCAGGGTCAGGGCCTTATTACATCACTTGATTAAAATATGCTGTAAGGGTTTCCTATTTTCCTCCTCTTTTGCTGAGATTCTTCCAATCAATGAAATCAGTGAAACAAAAATTGAAATGAAATCTTTTCTCAATAATATTGCAGCCCCTGTCAATCCAGAAAGTAGCAATATGGCACTGATCATCTACCATTAACAAGACAGGGAATGACAACCTTCAGATGTCAGGGAGAGATCAAGAAAGTAAGACCTAATTCAGGTCTGCCTTTAAACAGAAACCTGCCAAAACAGACGACAATTTTGGGTTGGGTTCTGTTTTTCAGTTTTGTTTTCCCCCTCCCCCAGTGTCACCTGTTCACTAGGAAGCAGGCTGATACTTTTTATCAGGACATTTCAAATGATGATGCCCTAGACACAAAAAGCTGTTTTTCTATATTTTACCTTTTTCTATCTACCTCCCATGAAGTTATCAAAGGACATCTTTCCAAGAAGAGCCCTTTAATTTGCACTCAGAATCAGAATTTGTCTGTGAGAACCTAATGCACCTACGTATCTCCACAATTTCTCTTCCTCCCACCTCCCCACTATCACCACCACCATCACAGGAAAAAACCAACACCAAATAAAAAACCCAACACAACAACAGCACGATGGCAAGGGAGACTAGGAATCACTTTGTAAATGTGGATCCAACATTGTGACTTTTATCATTGTTAGAATTATTAGACTACTCTTCAAATACTAGCACCAAGTCTGAATTTGCTGATGGGGATACTCTCAAGTGTGTTGCAAGTTTTAAAACATCGTGGGAACACCTCTCCATTGGTTTATGAAGAAAATTTCATTTACAAACTCAGAAAAAAAAGCCTGGGAATTTTGTTTTCACAAGGAACCCAAATAATTCCCATTTGCAGTACTGCTAAAGCTTGAGGTCATCAATAAGAGCTGCACAATACTTAATGTTTTCTTATAAACAGAACTACTTAAGTCATGCGCTTCCATAAAAATCTCAGATGTATTTTCCTTTCCAATTACAACAATAATTGCTTTCTAATTACAACAAGCTGTCTAAAAAACAAATCCAGAAGGCATGTAAAACCACCCAAACAGTAAGAATGGCGAGACTAGATTTGGCTTTTATAAAAAGTAGTTATTAAAATGAGTGGAAGTTTCCTAAAGGTAATGCTTCCTGTATTTAGACAGTGATCATGAAAAGCATTCAAAACAAAAAAAAAAATTAAATCTAGAGGAACTGCAGTGGTTAAAACAAAAAAAAAATATTTTAAAAGCCTTTGTCTGCAGCATGAAGCTTAAAAGTCAATGCCATATATTTAATCATCCGTATTTTTGGACAGTCTCATTTTTAAATTTAAAGACCTCCATGCTTTTTATTCCATGCAATATCCTTCACACTGTTTCTCCTGCAAGTGAAATAAAAAATTAATAAAAGATTGAATACTCTGTTTTCATTTTTGTTCCCTATCGAACATAGATCAAAGCATACTGCTGCCATATACTAATTTGCTAACAGTGTTTCTATTTATATCTTCCTTTGTATCACAGGTGCACTTATGCATATCATCTCCGGAAGAAAAATTTCAACTTTCTTAATTTTTGCTTAATTTCAATTACTTTTATTCTATTTTTTATGGTAAAGCGCAATTTGTTTACATGCAAACAATTGGCAAACTCTCCAGTGTTTTAAATAAATAACTGAATTTTGAGACACATAAATTCAATCTCTTGGGGTATAAATGGAATAGTGATAAGCCTCTGTGAAATATGATTCTCATTCCCACTCACTCAGTAAGTGGCTCATAACTCACTTGAGGGCTGTGAGTTCCTTATATTAAGATTTAAATTTCAGAAGAATGCCACTGAGCATCTATGCCTACAGGCTTAAGGATTCACACAGGGTATTTTTGCAGTTCCATAGTTTTGAAGGCCTGATAAACAACATGAGACAGAAGGAACCAGAAATCTTGACAACAGTATACACATGTACTAAATACATATGTAAATGAAAAATATACCATACTGTAGATAGTTCTGTATGTAGAGAGCAGGGAAAACAGCGCAGGCAACAGTGATCTTATAATTTCTACCACATTACTGATATTGTTGTTCCTTTCCCTTCAGTCCTTGCTTTTGATTGCCTCTAATTTTGCCACATAGAAATTTGTTTGGCTGAAAGTGATTATTTTTTGAAATTTTCAGTTAAGATGGTCCAGATACACAGAATGTGTAATTATGTACCTTATAAACTTTAATTCTGACAGTAAATCTTTTACAGAGATGTGCATTTTACTATATCCATGGCAATCTACCCAGATCTGACAATGACATAAAGCCTTGGAAAAGAAATCTCAGTATGTGAAAACTCAGAACTTAAACCTAATGCCTAATACGGGCACCAAGGGTCTACTGTTATTGAAAATTCTTGCATCCTTCCCAGCTTCTAATACCAACAAAACTGCACGTGCGTTTTTGGGTAGAGCTAGGGTGTGGTACAACAGCCTTAAGATAAGGGCTGTTACACATAAGAGAATGCCAGTGTCCAGGCAACACAGAGAGCTTTGACCCACGTGAAGCTCAGTTATGGAGGCACACTGGGGAAGAAGTCTGACTGGCTGGGCAAAGTGGCTAAGAGTATAAAAGAAGAGCTAAAATTTTCTAAGGAAACAAGTTGGGAATTCAATAAAAAGAGTGAGGCTGACAAAACCTGGAACGGGTGCCAGGTGTCTGCAGAGAAGAGGAGGCAACGCTGGGGTGAGAAGAGGAAGTCACAAGTACAGGAAACAGACTGAAGAATAAGTATTTATTAGAACACACTTCCTGTGGCTGAAAGCTCTTTCCAATATCCTGCCTGCTGTCATTTCTTGTATATGCAAGTTTTGCTCTTTCCCCTCAACTCTTTTCAAAAACAAAAAATGACAACAAACCCTCCACAGTATGTTTGACTTTATAAACCCTAGCGATGTTGGGTAGGGTGGGGGTTTTGGTTTTCTGTTGTGTGTTTGTATGTGAAAGCACTAAATGTAGAAATGTTATACTGTGTAATACACTGTAGAATCACATGCAAATACTCATGACAAAGTAAGCTAAACTTCATTATTCATAAAACTGACATCTGCCTTGGAAGCTCCAACAATTCCAACAACGTACATTGCCCAAAATCCAGCATTTCCCCATCTAAAAAACCCAACCAAAAATCCAATCAATCCCACCCAAACAGAGGCAGCAAATCGGGGAAAAAAAAAAAGCAAACCAAAACAGTCACGAGTCAGTAACATTTTCTCTGAACAGCAATGTCATTTAAGACCCACTTAACTGGACGACACAGAATCAGAATCAAAGAAAGGCTGCACTGAGTTATACCAAACAGTTCAACTGGCTCTGTATCTTGTGATCAGATACCTAGAGATGCAAAATACTCTCCCTGCCTCCAACTATTTTCAGATCAGGAATTTCCGGAGCTAGATGTAGATCCTGTGTGTGTTTAGTAATTCTCAATTAATATCTTTTCTACAAACAAACCTTGTCTCACATTAAATCAATAAAAAGAAATAGCAGTTCTGAAGAAAATTTTTTTTCCCTGCTTCTGATCTAGTCTCAGCAAATCACAGGAAAAAAATATTACAACTTTCACACATATATGGAAAAACCTATTTTATGGAGGTTTCTAGTGCTTCCTTCAGAGTGCAAAGCTAGTCTAATAAGTCTCCTGTCCTATCAGTGAAGTCATATGAAAAAGTTTCAGTAAGGGTTTTGAAAGGTTTCAAAACTTCAGGAACATTTCTCTTCAACTGTATACAGCAAATACACAGAATTCTTGACAGCGCTGTGGTTTCAGATGACCTATATAACTTATTTGTGACATTGTTACTGCAGAGTAATGGAGATTCATAAACTTGGGCTAATAAAACTTTTATGGTGCAGCATATCAGCATGTAATATTTCTCAGTATAATGAAAGTGAAATAGATCTATTCAACACTACACTCGAGCCCAGAGCTGACCTAGAATTGAGAACGCCTTGCCAACAGCTTCCTTCATTTTAGAACATATAGCTTCCAGTTCAAACTGAAATGGCCACTTCATCAGCTATGAGAGAGATTAATTCTCCAGGATATTCAGTTGCAAATAATGCATAATTACTTCAACAGAAAGTCATGCAATGACATGACAAGAACTTATGAGGTTAATTCCATGCCCACTGAAGTCACTGACAGTCTTGAAAATCATTGAACAGTAAAGATGTAGAAGTGGGAGATTTTAGCAGAAAGCATAATTGACATTTCTGAAAGTTTTCTTCACGTTTCTCAGTAAAATGATACTGCCAAATATGTATAAAACATTAAAATTTTAAATTTCAAAATTTGTGCATCATTTGAAGAGCTTTTTAAGAGCTCTGACACAATTCTTTGTGATTTCTTCAGGATTTGACATAGCGTTGCAACAGTGATCTTTTATGGTTTTTACAACACTTACCTGCATTTAATGAAGGCAAGTTGTCTTTACCACTTATGCCTTCAGTGGCTGTACATTCCCGAACCAATGCACACTACAAAAGAAATGCAACTGTAAATGTAACACATTCAGCTGTTACAAGGAAATTCATAGCAGTTTATAAGTAGCAGACTGAAAAATAAAACTTCCCAACCTTTAATTAAAATTTACATTTTTCTCTCTATATTTCTGCTCCAATATACTGCAACACAATCAAAATTATAGCAGAGAAAATGGCAAAATATGATCAGCTATTCCATAATAAAACAGGTTTCCTACCAATACAAATGGCAGAGGTTTCAGAGAGGTTTCTTTTGACAAGGCACTTTTCACATGCACAGCATCAGTAAAGCACCCCGTGAATTTTTAAACAAGGAAAAAGTAGGAACCGCAAAAAGTCTTAAAAATGTGCTCGCGGTTTGTGATTAATTTGTTACACAAGTGAACAGGAAGATTTCTTTGATAAGGTTAGCGTATAAAAGTATACAAAGTTTATGGAAAAATCAACCAGTGTAAAACTATGTTAAATGTACTAGAATGTATATATTTTATGCTCCTCCACCCCTCAAGTCAGAAAAAAACCCCTGACAGCTTCTAGAGGTGATAGGGAGCCCTGTTCCCAGGGCTTCCCCAGTTGATGGATGTCCTGTTGCAGAGCTCAAAGCCAAGAGCCAGACACCATGTACTCCCAACCAGTTGATATGTCAGATTGAATTTAACTATCACTTTACTATTCCATGAGGAATTCCCTGCACATAGCTTATCTAACAAGTTAGTAAACCCAATTCAGAACTTATTTCTTTGAAGTAATTCAGTAACTCTACATTCTCACAATTGCATCCTCGCTATGAACATACAAACTAAGACTCCATGAAGCAACACCATGATGCAAATAATCCGTAAAAACTAGGGACTCCTTTAAAGACCACAGAAAATACAGCTCTCACTGAGTTAGTCCTTCTTGACAAGGTATTAGAATCCCCTAGAAAGATGCTATTAAAGCCTTCGGCTCCCCCAAACTAGGCAGAGCTTATTAATTATATCTCTAATAATTGTGAGAAGTCTCGTTCCACATTCTGAAATGGAAGAAAAGCAAAATGAAAGAGAAGGCTGAAAAAACAGTTCACGTTGCATATTTTGTGGAAGTTTTATAGTACAAAACCAGAACGATTTCACAGCATTTGTTGGCTTCTTTGGAACTGGCCCCACTAGTCCCTTGTTTTAAAAGGGCATCAAGGTCCTTTGAGAAGAATGGTGAGAAAAGCATAAAATCTATCCTCAGGGGTTGGCCCAAAAGCAGACTGTTTTGACTGAGCAGAAAAAATATTCAGAACAATGTCCTTTTCTCCAAAAATACATTCTTATATGTTACTTCCAAACAAAAAACCGCAGTCCTTAATTTTACATTCCCTGTAGCGTTATCTAAAGTTGTTTGTTTTTTTCCCCATGAAGAGCAGAACACACCACAGTGTACAGCAGTACACCATAGCATGAAGGCTGCAAAAATTCTGTCCTTGAGAAGGGCTCTGCAGAGGCAGAGATACCATGAGGAGGCAACTCTGTACAGGTCTGTCAGCTCCCATCACGCAGGGACCCAGTTAAAGGAACCTACCTTTTTTTTTCCACTGCAGGTCATTCAAACTCTGATTTCCTCATTCTGAGCAGTCTTTTCTTAATCTCTCCCAAGCCCAAACCTCTTATAATCATAAAGACAGCTCATCCATTCCACCCTCCCTCCTTTGGTTCTCCACTCCTCTCAAACGCACTCCCCCCATATCAGCTCCAGCCTCCACCACTTTTGCCTGCAAACAACCTGCCTACTTGAGAGCATTTTTGCTCTTTCCAAGCCCTTCTGTCCTTCCTCTAGTCCCACCCCACAAGAACCCCAACTCAGAATCCCTACATACACCCTCTGAGCAGCCCTGCCCTGTGCTAGCACCCCGAGGCACCACTGCATTGCTGTGCCATCCCTCCCCGTTGATTTTCCCCGCTCCCATGAAATGCAGCTGAGCCTGCCCCCTCGCAAGGGTTCACCTCTTCTTTGGCTTGCCTGTCTGCCATTCTTTCCAGGTTTTCAGTATTGTGGGCACAGCTTGCACATAAAAATCCACGTGAACAGGACTTCAAGGGCAGAAAACAGAGGAACTGTCCAAGGGAAAAAAAAGTCAGATTTTGTGGCGTCTCTATGGACAGTTTTTTTGATCAGGATTGATTAAATATGATCAGTTGAGATCAAAATCAGCTCTTTTTTCCCTAAAGAAGGGGAGGGACTGAAAATCTGAGGACAGAGTATTACTCTGTACATGATCTTGAAAAACTATTTTTAGTTTAGGGACATTAAGTGTACATAGTACTTTATTCAAGAATTTTTTGATTAAGTCCTTAACCCAATTTGGAATTAGTAATTTAGGCATGGTACGGCTGATCATTCTAATTAGCTTTGTGCAATGAACTGAGTTTCTACCTTTTGATCCTGGGCATCTGTTGTGATGTGGTCCGTTTCCCCATCCTCTAGCTCTCCCATCTTCACAAGATTGACTTCAATGGTACCAACTGTCTTTCCACCATCAGAAGTCCTTGGAAAAAATAACAACAAACAACATCAGGTCACCTGCAGCATCACATTCCTTCAGTAAAAATATTGTAAACAGTAAACATTTAGTCCCTGCTCCGGTCTGTATAGCTGCAGTCACCTGTACTGAATTAGTTATTTACAATCATAAAGGAAACGTTAACAATAAAGCATATTGTATTTTCTCCAGATTCTTTATAGCAATGAAAGGTTTCATCACAAAACTGAGGATGGGTAAGCGCTATAAATGGTAGAAGAACCCACGAACATCACCATGTTTTCATTCTAGACATTCTGTCTCATCACAAAACTGAGGATGGGTAAGCACTATAAATGGTAGAAGAACCCACGAATATTGCCAAGTTTTCATTCTAGACATTATTCTGCCTGTGGACCATCAGAGAAAGGGCTGTAACATACTGCACCAATACCCTACTTAAGACCTGCAATCTCACTGCACAGTACACTGCTTTGTTTCCTAACTTAATCTGTGAAGAAAGGACATACTCAGTATATTAATAAATCTCCTGCTAAACCAAAGTAATATAACTAATCTGAATATCACTCTTCCTTTTTGCAGTACCTTCACAGAGTAATTACTCAGAATCAGTCCCATTTCTTTAACTACATGGGAGAAGACAGTACAGTTCCAGGTGAATTCTTCTATTATCATCTCTGCAAACAGTTTACTTCCAATCAGGCAAAAATAAATAGCAATTCAGATCTACACCTCCAAAGAGAGTAGTGCTCACTCCTTTTGAAAGAAACAAGGGTTTAAACTCCAAAAAGATACTGACTGCTTTTTAAGCTTTCCCTGGTAGCAAAACATCAAGGTTAATGGCACAGTCTCTCTCCCCTGACTTATTCTGAACAGCTGGATTTTTTGAAAGGAAGGAAAGAAGGGTAACAGATCATTTAATAATAATGAGGAAAATATAACAACAGCCACCAAGGAAAAAATTAGCAAAAGGAAATGATGAGAGTAAGCTTAGCAGAACTGCAAAAGCACAGAGGAAGAAAAAACGAAAACAAATGGATTTGGGGCAATACTCTATCTTATCTCAGAAGTGAAGATTAAAAGTGATGAAGCAGGACAAAGAAATACACAGAAGAGGGACTAGAGGGCTGGCAATAAAAAAGAAAAAACAACTTTCAGAAACAGTAATATTTGAAAAAAGTGTTTCCATTAAAACTGCTACATTCCTAGGGCAATCCTTGCTGCAGGAAAACACAGAATTATAGAATAGTTAGAGTGGGAAGGAACCTTAAAGATTATTGAGTTCCAACCCCCCTGCCCTGGGCAGGGACACCTCCCACCAGACCAGGTTGCTCAAAGCCCCATCCAGCCTGGCCTTGAACCCCTCCAGGGATGGGGCAGCCACAGCTTCTCTAGGCAACCTGTTCCAGTGTCTCACCACCCTCAGAGTGAAAAACCTCTTCCCGATACCTATTCTAAAACTACCCTCTTCCAGTTTGAAGAGGTTACCCCTTGGTCCTACCACTATATGCCCTTGTAAAAACTCCCTCCCCATCTTTCCTGTAGGCCCCTTTTAGGTACTGGAAGGCCGCTATGAAGTCTCCCCAGATCCTTCTCTTCTCCAGGCTGAACAACCCCAGCTCTCTCAGCCTGTCTTCAGGGGAGAGGTCGTCTGACCATCTTCATGGCCTCCCCTTGACCTTCTCCAACAGGTTCATGTTCTTCTGCCAGACACAGGCCTTTCCAGACGGCTGGGCCCACGCTCCAGGCAGCAGGACCCTGTCTCTGCCTTGAGCTCCCACAATTTTACATCATCCATATTTCTGCACGCAGTGCAAGGACTCAATTATTAAGTCAGACTACGCCAGCTCTTTGCACTGACTAAAGTTAAACACCTACGTTAGTTTTTTCAGGATGGATACTTACTTATCATGCTAAATCAAAACTTTCAGGTTTTTTTACAGTAAAGTCTCAAAATAGAGCTACCCCCCAAGCTTCAAATTTAAATAATTATTTTGGTTGCAAACCATTACGCTTAATATGCGACTTAATAGAATACACTCATCTTGCAACTATCCAAATTAAATGTTCTTATATAAAACCCTGCAAAATACACATAATTCTTCATATTTTACATGTGCCACTACTTCATTTGCTCTAAGCCTAATTCATCACTGACAACAAAGGAACAATTAAAAATGAACCAATTCCAGATAGCCTTGCAACCAAAGAAGCCTACGTTAATTAACAAAGTATATAAAAGAAAAGCAATAAGGAAGAAGGGTACAATGTCCAAAGGGCGTTTATAAGCAAAAATACATAATAATTTTGAAATGCATGAGAACATCTGAAGTGTCTTCTGCATGAAGAACGTTCCCCTGAGTTGCCCCAGCTTAGTGACTCGTCTTCATTTGTTTTCCCCTTCCTGTTTCAAACCAGCACACGAACCAGGTTACCTCAGCAAATGGACTTACAGCATTTCCAAGGAGAAAGGGAGTACAACAAATGATAGCAAATCACATACACCCTTAAAAATCAGGATAAACGTGTGGCTTTAGGGCTGAAAATTTTTCAATGGCTTAATGTGTCCTGATCAAAGCGTCAAGTGGACAATCCCATTACCAGGCTGAATTTAATATGCAACAGCAGTTTGCTGTTATCCTGGTCTGAAAGGAAAATGTTGCATTTATTTGTCTTCCAGAAGTAAAAACCTATCCATCCTTTTTTTTTTTTTTAAACACATTTTTCCAAGGCCAAAGAGACCTGCAAGTCTGAGTCTGACCTACAGAAACCGAATCTGATTTTAAATTACATCAGGGTAAATTACGAGTATCAACAAACGTTGAGTAAAACAGAGCTCAATTTGCAAATGACCCGATACAAGCCAACAAGGCATGTTGCTTGAGTAAAACACAATAAAAATGAAATGTCAGTTAAGCTTTCACAGTCCTTGTCTCCTTTCCTTTAGAGCACTACATATTTTCCATCGGTGGTGGTACTGGAGGCTTGGCCTCAGTACGGCAGCGAGCACTACGCTGTTTGCCTGCACAAGGAGCAATATGCGTTTGGGAGCCTTCTCCATCCATACGTAAAAAATACAATTGATCTAATTTCACTTTAAATCATTTTTCTCCCCAAAAGATTTTCTTCTCAAAATCACTGCTGTTTTGGTCTAGTACATATGTAATATTCCAGTCTGAAACACGCAGTATCTGCAAGAGGGGGTAGTGCAACAGAATAAAACTAAGCAGTGGGACTGTCGCATTGTAGTTATACTCTTTCCTCCATTTCTCTTATCTTCCCACATGGAAATATGAAAACACAATTTAAAAAACCAAAACCTCAAAGTTTCTTTTGAATGCTACAAGCAAACAAAGAGCTCTACAAATGTCCAGGGAGAAACCGTCATTAGCTGTGTCAGACATTGTGAATTTAAAATGCCACTGGTGCATGAGTCTTCAAACAACAGACATGTCATGCATTTAAAACTTTCAAGCAACACCATGAGATTAAAATTTCACTTGAAAGAAAATTAAATGTGAGAAACAGAAGCGATGCTGTGGAACAAATAATAATAATTAAAAAAAGCCTAGCAATCACACTTAAATAAGACAAAAATCTGTATAACTTTACTTTGCACTAACTGAAACAGTACGGTGGACACACACATATATGCACTTCATGTCATTTGTCTCGACAGACAGGAGGAAACAAATCTCACACATACACACTGTTCAAGAGAGCATCAGGAGAATAATTAGTTGGTTTTAGGATATTTCATAATGCATCAGGATAGAATCAGCACATCTGCTGCAGTTTTATAAAGCCGTAAAGCACACTCTGCACTCACAGGGTGCAGTGAAGACTGTCCCTCCATCAAACTGCTTACAGTCATGAGACAGGAGGTGCTATAGACCCAAAACACAAAGGATTGCACCTTGATTGACAAACCTGCACAGGGACAGTGGGGATGGGGAATACAGCAGTAAGTATTAAAGAAGTGTCAGTGTGAAGAAGCCCTTATGTGGCTCACTCTAGCTGGCTTATGGAGTTGGAAAATTGCTGGGTTTTTTTCAGCATCCTGGGACAAGGAGCACCAATCACCTGATATCTGTCCACACAGCATCTGCATTTGGAACATGACCAACGACAAGGAAACAAAGTGTTAGAACAGTGATTTCTAAACCAAATTTAGAATGCAGTGTCCTAGGATGCAGGCTTTGGCAGCGTTTCAGCCTGTCCCTACCCATTCAGTCCAACATGACTGAGTACTGCAGCGCTCACTCCACCTACCACAGCTACAATCCTGTGACAGCCTGCACTCACCTAACCTGGTGTTGCCAAGGACTCATCTTCTCATGAACCTCGTGGAGGTGATTCTGAGTGAAACAGTATGTTTTGAATTTCAAAAAAAGCCACCAAAACCTCTATCGGTGTTAAAAGCCACACTGTTTTTCGACTCATTGAGCTAAACACAGAGACTTTTGAAGCCATCATGAAATCTGCTCAGGTTTACTTCTAATATTAATTTGAAGTTTATTATACACATGGATTTCCTCACCGTCCCAAGTCCTTAAAGATCACCAGGTCAGTATCAGTTCCCTCAAATGTGAGGGAAGGAGTTAGCCAGCCCCATCACGAGCAGCAGGAATCTGTGCCCACCTTAATACTTCTGGCAGTAAAAGACTGACCCAGGTACCCTGAGAGAAAGAAGGTAACAAGCTAATGGTGGAAAAGCAAGTGAGGTAGATGGACTGAGAACAGCAGCTGTTTGCCTCCAATGCTGTTCTCATCAAGTATCTCTGCTGCATGTTGAATATGCAAATTTAGGCCTGCTAATTGGTTCCCATGGCCATACCTTGCTTCCAAATAAAAATGGCTCAAGAACACAAAGAAAAAGAGAAGCAGACTGTGTATTTGCATAGCTGTGTTAATAATAAATGACAAAGTGAGTCACCGCCTGAAAAGCAAACTCCATGACTTTCAGTCTAGCAGGCAGCCCCTTTTCCAATGCATAACACACAAGAAATGCGACTAGTACAGACTAGCATGCAGATTTTCATAAAATTATTTTCTCCACTGATGCAATAGCTTTTGAAATAAGTAAGCACAAGACTATTGTACTTGCACAGAAATGCTTATTCTGTGAACTCACAGTGGAGCTTATCGCAATTTATACTGTTTTTAAACAACTTTACTGGTGAATAACATTCTGCTGCATTCTCTGGGAAATAAAAAAAGTTTTGCACTGTTCAATTCCTTATCAGTTTTCATGATTTCAATGTACTGTTGATTAAGCTTCATGTCAAAACAAGTTTAGCCTCAACTGCACGGGAGATTTTCCTACCTTATAAAGCCAAGCTGTTGTTCACCTGCTTCCTGTGGTGGATGACATGACATGAAGCAGTCAAGAAAGAATTTCACGATGAGGACCAAGTAAAACGAGTTGTAGGCAGACTTGTACTGAATTTTAATAGGGAAAAATAGCTAAATATATAGTATGCTATAGTCATCATTCCCTAAGGAAATAAAATGTACATAAACAACTGCAAATATTAGTGTGCTCAAATTCTCTCTAGTTAGTTAAACCTTGTGAATATAACTACTAGTGAAGTGCAGCTGCGTGTCTTCTGGCCCATTAAACTACAAGGTGCTTGGAGGACAGTGACAGGAGGAAGGGAAGTTGGGGGGGAATTTCTTTAATAGAGTCTTGGAGGTTTTTTTTTTGAACTTTCCAAAAGTAACTATGGTTTATCTCCTTTATTTAAAGGAAATAAAGTCCTGCCCAAGATTAATGAAAATAAGACAGCTAAAAAAAGCAGATTGATAGACAAATAGATATTGTCCAAGGGTCCAAGTACAGTCACAGGTTTAAAGAAAGCATGTGGAATACATGATTGACATACATCCACAGGCACATTCTCCCAGATAACCTGTATAATTCATGCACTTCCAATCCTAGTTCTGGTTTTCCTATGGTTAGCACCATTGCTACAAAGTTCCTGCTTACAGGGGCCAAAGGATCTTAGTGGAATTGACATTAGTCTAGTTTCTTATTGAAGTAGCCTTCTTGCACTTTTGTACTGCCTAAGAGGATCATCTCAGACAGATGGACCTTATTTTTACAAAGAGCACAAAACAGCACTATTATCTTTTTCCTTTGCTGCTTCTTACATGCAACTTACTGGAAATCATACTAAAATCACCCAAGCTAAGGAGGACCTTCCTGGAAAAAGGGTAAACTACCACCACAGGGGAAGCAGCTACTGGAAGTACTAAGCACTAGCCCTGTACAAAAGGCCATAGACCTCAACCAAGCGAAAAAAAAAATAAAAATATTACACCATTCTTAAAAGAAAAGCATGGCAAAAAAAAATACTCTAAACTGAACTTTAAATGTAAATCAACTTTAAAAAAAATAATCAGTATTAATTACTAAAATAGCAATCGGTATACCTAACTCTCATTTACAAAGAAAAAAAGCATGTATGCTTGCTTTTTTTTCTTTTTAAATTGGATACGCTGCAACATATAGTCAATATTAAGAACTATTCTGCTATTGAGTATGGCTTTTGTTTTATTCAATAGCCCATTTTACCCTGTTCATCATCACAACCCTGTGAGAAAGCTGGAAGTAAGTGGTATTGCATTACCATTGCAAAATGAGACATCCGAATCTACAGAAGGCATTTCTGGTTTTATAAATTTCATATTGAAGACTGCAATTCCAAGTCTCTAGTAACTAAATTCCTTTGCCAGCATCAGTTTTGTATCTTGTCAGCACCGAAGCCATTCTACAAATTGACCTCTTCAGGTTTGATGATTAGATACAGGTGCACACATTTAAGATAAACACTCAGTCATCAGTTTAGGGCACCTCTATAGAGAAGAAAGAACAATCACAATAAAAACTACTTTTGCAGTGCTTTGTTACTTGTGTCCCTAATTCCTATTCAGGCACAATGGTGGGGAGAGGGGAAAAAGCAGAGCACAGTATATCAACAGTAAGGAATTGTAAATGTATGCCAGCCCTCCGCAAAATAACTGAGAAAAATATAAGAATATTCCTTTAAAAACACATTTATAATATGAAATTGCACCTGAGAAAGAGAAGAGCAAGACATAATAACTGAAAAAAACCCAGTGAAAAAGTAACCACATTCTATAATTACACCAATATTTATAGGGCACACCACAGAGCTATTTCCAGATCCTTAAATCTCTACTTTAGATCTAACAAAGGAATAACTCTAAATCACAGGCACTCCCTAGTAAACTCCTATCCAAAATATATCAACAAGGATTAAATAGAATTGTGTGCTCTGACACGGCCCTTGGTACATCCCCGATCCTCCTGAGAGGTACTAATATAGTAGGGCAATTAGAGGAAAGCAAGTTTAGATTACTAGACTGCTCTGGTTAAACTACCATTGAAGAAACGTGGATAATTTCTGCTGATTTTGTACTGCTAAATAGCCATTATTAGGAAACAGTCCCCCATCTAAAAGGTTAGGATTTTTTTCTTTAAAAAAAAGAAATCCAACCAAGACCTACCATTTAATGTATCTGCAAATTAATTTGAATAAGTATAATATTTTTCTTCTAGTGTTAGCTGCACAAAGAGGACATACAAAACTTAAAATGAAATTTAAAGCAAATCTGAAAAGGCATAAAAGTTCACCTGAAACCAGCCTGTCAATCTGTCATCTGTGGCTTATTAGTTATCCAGATGAACTTTTGGTTTACAAATTATAGGTTAGATAAAAAAAACCAAACATACTCTTTTCTTTTCAAAGTTTCCTGAAACTTTACATTCTGCCAACTACTATGGCACCTGTCAGAAGCATTCTTTCAGGTCAATTTGCAATATGTCAGAGAGGCAAAGCTGTCCCAAAGAACAACTTGAAATTCTGTAAGAATAGACTCTTAAAAACACTAAGTTAGTACTTTTTTATCTAGCCCTACATTTCCATACAGAGCAGTCAGTTTGCATTTTATCTGATCAGTTTTGTTTGTTAGAAAACAAAGTTATCTGCTTGTTAGACATAGTATTTCTCTATGTTTGGGAGAAATTAAAGTTGAGGCATTTTCTTAACGTTGCCCTGTAAACTCCAGGCACGTATGCAGCTACTATTGTTATAATAGGAAGGCAGGTGCAGTAATGAAATCAAACAAAATATTTCAAGAAGTTCCTGTTTCAAAAAAATGCAGTGTCCTTGACATAGGGACAGTACCACAACGTTGCCGAATTGGTTCTAATTCGGGCCTTCAGCTAAATCAAGGCTGACTTCACATGCACAGGGTAAAGAATGCAACACAACTTTTCTATAACACCTATATACAATATCCCAGGCAGAATATATACCAGTGTCACAGTTTTCCTCATCGCAGCTTCTTTCATCACAAAATTTTGCCTATGTAGAAGCACGGTGAGGTGGGGTAGTTGCTCTGTGAAGCTTACCTGTACCTATCCCAGTAATCCCAAATAAGCCTCCATCGTATTTGCAAAAATCAGCTCAACAAAATCCCTGCACTATCTGAAGTCCAACGAATACATTTTGAAAAGCGCCACCCAAAAGGTTTCCCCTAACCTTCAAATAGTTTGGTGTTTTAATTCATCTTAAGCCATGCAAGTCAGTATCAGGGTGAAAACTGATTTTTCTTCAGTGCACAGCTTTAAGCAATATCTGCTCAGCTCAGTCTCAGTTTTTAAGCCCTGGCTCTGGCTCTCCTGCAGCTCCTTACCTTGTGTCACAAATTCATGTTGTATG